AGTAGCTATATAAGCAGAAGGTAGGAGCCATTTTCTACATCATCAAACACTCAATCATTGCTTGGTTAAGTGATAATGATAAGCTAAGAAGTGCTACTAATGATGAAGGCATCACTACTCTTTATCCTTTCATTCCGTGTCTTTTCCATTTCCGTTTCCACAAACTCCTCCTTTACTTCAGCTGCTGAAGCACCCGAGCCAGTGAGCGATGTCGCTGGAAAGATGCTGCGAACTGACCGCCACTACTACATATTACCAGCAGCCAACGTCTTTGACAAATTCAGAGGTGGAGGTCTTACACTATCCGGCATTGGCAAGAACACTTGCCCAACGGCTGTGTTTCAAGAAATGTCTGAGCAAGAAAATGGCATCCCCTTGGCATTTTTGCCTGTGAACCGGAAAAAAGGTGTGGTTCAAGTCTCCACAGATTTAAACATCAAATTTGCTTATCCACAAACCTGTGGCCAATCTCCAGTTTGGAGCATTGATAATTATGTTTATCCATCTGGTGACAGCTTTGTCAACATTGGTGGAGTTGTTGGAAATCCTGGTCCTAAGACTTTAAGCAGTTGGTTCAAGATTGAAAAATTTGGCTATCAGGATTACAAGCTCGTCTATTGTCCCGCGGTATGCAGCTATTGTAAAGTTATTTGCAAAGATGTTGGCATAGAGTACCAGAATGGCAAAAGACGTTTGCATCTCACGACTGATTATCCACTCAGGGTCGTATTCAAGCAGGCATAAGGATGAGATTTTAGATGCGTTACATACATACATACATAAAACACTGGTAATAAAGAAGCCTCCCTGGAAAAATGGGAAAAAACCATGTAATAAGGAAGCATTCAAGTGCTTTTGTTGATGTATAAAATATGCATGTAAAGTATCTGCAGTTGCTTGCTCTTTCTTGTTTCGTAAGTTCATAATAAGGCAATAATTATAACTACAGAAAATGTTCAAAATTATCACTAAACTATTTAAATTTTTTTTATTTTGGCCATTAAAGCTTATATTTAGCCGAAAGTGGCATTCAATTAATTGGAACATACATTTTGCAGCCGAAAAGTATATGTTTTTATTACTTTAGTGACTAAATATGAAAGTTATCACTATTATAAGGTTCTTGAAACATTATTTTGCTACCTACATTTGGTTTCCTAGTCAATTCAATTTAAACTTCTTGTTTGATAATTTCTTGAGAAAAATTTTGTATTACTCGGGTGCCTTTTAGAAATTAAATATATAGGGGGAAATATTGAAGCAAAAAAAAAAAGAAAAGGTTGGTAGGAAATCAGTAACTATTCCATTGCGGCTTACCAGAGTTAAAAAAGATTATCATATTCTAACGGGTTATGGCCTCATGGGCCCATTCTTTATTCTTCATAACGATGACTGTATGGAATTAAGAAGGGATAATTTCAGAAATCTCCTATGAGGTTTCTAACAATTTCACTGATCTTTTTGAGGTATAAAAAATAACACTGATCTGCCTTGGTAGAGTAAGGGGCCCATTTGCTGACATCACTTAGCATGAAATTACTCATGTACCCAAATACGTTATCTGAGATTAGAAACTAAAATCTAAGAATTAAGTAATTATGGCAAAAATCAACTAATTAACATAATTATCTGCTAATAGCATAAAAAGTATTGTGGAAGATATAAAATGGTATGAATTTGCTATACCAATTGGCTCCATTTTGTGATTGATATGACTTGACATGACCACATTTCAATGGTATACAAGAAAGACTCGGGCAAAACAAAAGAAGCACAGAGGAAAGAAATGGAAAAGCAAGTATGTTCTTAAGGATTTTTTCCCTTGGTTTAAAAACTAAAGAGATGGTCTTTTCATTAGAGTAATTTCATGGAAGTGGTTCAGAAAAGAGGTAGAAGAAAGGCAAAATTAGAAATTCTTTTCTGTGCAAAATCACAAAAGGCAAACCCTAAATCAGTTAAACAATCTCTACTATTTTCAGTTTAATATTTAAAAGTTATAATCTTAGTTGAAAACCATGAAATTTTTCGAGACGATCATAACTGCAATGCACCTTGACTGATAATTATTTGCAACTGATAATTCTTTTTACTAATACACCTTGATTGGAACGCATAAGGGGCATTTGTGGAACAAAATTTTTATTTCTCTTTTGGAAGTAATTTTTTAATCATACTTTTTCGCAGATGGACTGATTTTTTTACCAAATCATAAACTTCAAGGAAGGTTAATGTAATTTTTCAAATTTTAGAAGAGGTCGGTGAAATTGTTAGAAATCTCAGGAGAGGTTTCGAAATGTTAGAAATTTTTGTCTCAAAAGGCAGTTATCCTTCATAAGTGAATTGCATTGCAAAGACATTGGTCTAGTTTGTTTAGATTACACATTATTTACACATATTGACTTGCTTGCATTATCAACAAATTTTTCAATCACCCTTTTATCTCAGATACATCATATAAAAAAAAAAGGTACAATATTTTTTCACAAAATTATTTCAAATAATCTACCATCCAAACACATAAGAGAGTTTGGCTCCGAGTGATCATAATCCTTTCAAACACCCTTTTACTCCGAGTAGCTACAAGTAATCTACTATCCAAACACCTTATTCTTTTCCGGAACGGCAAGAGAGTTTCGCTCTGAGTGATCATGATCCTTTCAAGGTTCCATTCAAGAAGGCATGATGGATTGATCATTGAATGCAGAAAAACGGCATATGCAGCCAAGAGATGTTGTCACAGTTTGATGCTTTGTGGTTTAGTTTTTGAGGTTTTTGAAGCATGATTTTGTTACTTTTACCTGGTTTTCTTGTCAAATAATATCTTGGGAAAATTTTTGTACTATTTCAATATTTCTTATTTAGAAATTAAAATGTAGTAGGAAGTATCAATTGAAGCTAAAAAAGTCGGTAGGAAATCCACTAACTATTCCATCTTAGCTTACAAGAGTAAAAGACCTATATATTCGTTATCCTTCGTAACGTTGACTTGCTACACAATTTGCTCTTGATATAATTATAACAAACCTTATTGGCTATTGCAACTTGCAAATGCGTACCCAATTATTTCTAATTTGGGGGAGGAAAAAATTTTAATATTTAAAAGTTTGTTTTAGTTTCTGAAATTTAAATTTCTGCAATCAAGCATAAGATGTCTGCTTAGGGAGCGAGATTCTGGTGATGAACTTAATGGTGCTTAGACCGTACACTTTCTTTCTTTATTTTCCCCAATTCTTCTATGTCTGCATAGCATGTTGAGGGAATGGTGAGAATATGACCAAGCTGGTACAAACTTGTAGTGGTAGGTTTTGCTGCTGAGTCCACGAACTTGAACTTAGTTTCAGAAGGTTGATCATAATTCGATAACTCTTGTGCAATATTTAGCAAATTTTTATGAGCCACTCACTTTATTGCTAATCATCCATGTCCAAGACTTCAAATGTTGTTGTATGGTTGCTGCCACTGGCATTAAAAGTAATGCAATTGTATCACCTTTCATTGTTCAAAAATGTTGATTGCCTTGGCATTTGCAATTTGCAAATTGGACAAACTTAGAGGACACTATGCACTTTCCAGGTATGATACAAGAAATAAATCTTATTATGGATGTTAGTTAGCATCCTCTATAAAAAATTGCTGGGGCTCATGACTTTGACTGGTGCCATGGGAGTTTTCTTCAAACACGCATTATTACTTTTTTTTTTTAAAGTTTGTTTGACCATGGTGTTGTTAAACACGCATTATTAGTTATTATAGTTATTCTTTTCCCTGTCCTCATATGAATCAAAGTCTACAAGGAAATTAAAGAAAAGAAGGATTTCTTTGAAGTTTGTGTTTCAAAAGAAGAAAAAAATGGTTTGAAGACTCGGCCGATACGAGACCGTGACGAAACAATACCGAGAAATGTGACTCGCCGAGAAATCGGCCGATACGTTATTGCGACGGGTTGAAACGGCCGAATCACACCAAGTCACTCCGAGTTATCCAGAGTCAAGTTGAATTAAACAAAAAACCTTTAAAAAAAGGAAAAAAGGATTAAAAAAGGGAAATCTAGGACCTCTCTGCCGCCTGTGTCAATCTCCTGTCAAGTATGCAAGTACTGATGCTTTTTTATACAGGAAAAGAGATGCGAGTGATGGGCACATTATAAAAGAGTGATGGGCACATTATAAAAGATTTCATGGGACCTTCCTGAGATTGATCATAGTGTTCCCTATTCTATTACCTTTACTTTAAGTGGGCAGTACCTTCACTTTAATTGGAACCAGCTCATACCGCAGCTCACCCTATTTTGCTTTGTTTTCAAACTTTCAGGCTGATTTGATTCTTATCTGTTAATTTTATTTGTGATGCCATTATCTTAAATAATTGAAAGTACTTATTGTGTTTAATATGTATAAAAATAGTACATTTTACAAATTTTTTTTGCTATTTTTTATTATTTTTGTTTAACATACTTTTTTATATTATTAACAATTTTTAGAATATTAAATGTTTTAAAATTTGCGTCTCACCAAAATCGCGACCGATGCGAAACGTTCCGGGCCGCGACCACGACCGCGACCGCAACTTTGAACCATGGGTGGGAGCATGGTTCGAAGACTCGGCCGAGACCGAGACGACTCGGCCGAGTCGTCTCCGTCTCAGCCTAGTCCGAGACGAGATCGCGACGAAATGTTTCCGAGATACGTGACAAGCCGAGACGTCACCGTGAAGGATTGAAATTGTCGAATCACACTGAGTCACTCCGAGTCATCCCGAGTCAACTTGAATTTTTATTATTTTTACTAATTTTTTAATTATTTTTATTTATCATATTTTTTACAATTTTTAGAATATTAAATATTTCACAAATTCACGTCTCGCCGAGACCGCGACCGATATGCCGAGACCGATGTGGAATGGTCCAAACCGCGACCGCAACCACGACCGCATCCATGACTTTGAACCATGGGTGGGAGGGAAATAAGTAGCAAACCAGCTGAAAAATGAAGACGAAGACAAGTGACAGCCAAATAGAGAATTCACATATGATGAAGAAGACCGTCCATCCTAGCTGGGCTTGGCTTGTATTTTTAAGCGAAGACAAATGTTACCACATTATGCTCCAAAGCTAGAACAACCTTTCTAAGCAAGCTATGGTAGTAGAGCAGAGATTCTTACGTTATGCCATTTTTCTTGCTAGTCTGCTTCTGTCTTCCTTATCATCTCTGAATGCCCAAAAAGGAAATTATAATTCAACTGCCTATCTTCCTGCTTCGTGGATCAACCAGGCCTCCAAGTCCCAGGAGATCAATGGCACGGATGAGACAACAGTGTTAGTGTTACCCATCCTCCTGAGAGGAAGTGATGGGCCAAGGTATGTGTGCGGCTTCTATTGTAACAAGGTAGAAGATCAATGCCTCTTTGGAGTCCTAATTTCCCAATATACACCTAACACTGATAATTATCTGCAGTCCCCCAAATTGGTCTGGTCTGCTAACAGGAATAATCCTGTTCAAAGTAATGCAATGTTGCAACTTAAGGAAGACGGAGATCTGGTCTTGGCAAATTCTGACGGCACCTTAATATGGTCCAGCAATACGAGAGGAAAGTCTGTTTCAGGCTTAAACTTGACAGAAATGGGAAACCTCGTACTGTTTGGGCCCAACAATGAACCCATTTGGCAGTCTTTTGATCATCCCACCGACTCGTTACTTCTGGGACAGAAGCTGGCTGGTGGGCAGAGGCTGACGGCTAGTGTTTCAGCATCCAATTGGAGTCAAGGTCGGCTTTCTCTTGCTGTTGGCTCTGCTAGCTTTTCAGCTTATACAGAGTCTGATCCACCTCAAATATATTACCTGTCCGGCCTTACGTATCCATATTGTGAGTTCAGAAACGGCAGCTTCAATGGTTTCACGATTCCTCTTGCATCAGTAGCTCAATTCATAAGGTTTGAGCCTGATGGGCATTTAAAGTTATATCAGTGGGGAGCAGCCGATGAATTTACAGAAGTTGTTGATCTTTTGACTTTTCTTAATGATTGTGATTACCCTATGGTGTGTGGCAACTACGGAATCTGTTCAAGGGGTCAATGTGGTTGTATTGAAACAACCAATGGCCAAGAGAGATACTTCAACGAAATAAAATCCAGACAACCTAATCTTGGATGTTCACTGGTCACTCCAATTTCCTGTGATCACTCCCAAGATCATACCCTTCTGGAACTAAAGAATACATCTTACTTTGCATTTCATCAAAGCTCAGATAAAATAGAAACGCTAATGGAGGAATGCAAAAGTAAGTGTATGAGTAACTGTTCATGCAAAGCTGCTGTGTTTTATTATACAGATCAACTGCATAGAGATTTAGAAAGCAAGGGCTATTGCTTATTATTAAATGAAGTATTTTCTATTAGCAACAATGAAAGATCAGTTGATGATACAATTCTCCTTGTTAAGGTGCAAAATACCCATGTCAATAAGTCAAGGCGTAAAACAGTTATACTGGCATCAACAGTTGGCGCTTTGTTTGGTGTGGTATGTGTAGTCGGTTCTTGTCTGGTTCTTTTAATGAGAGTATTCAGGGAATCCAATGAAACTGAGGGGGATTTTCTGAGCAAGGTACCAGGAATGCTTGCAAGATACTCTTATGAGAACTTGAAAGCTGTGACAGAAGATTTTAGCAAAAAACTTGGCGAAGGAGGATTTGGTTCTGTTTATGAAGGGGCACTAAGTAATGGTACGAAGATAGCAGTCAAATGTCTTGATGGTTTCGCTCAACTGAAGGACTCCTTTATAGCGGAAGTGCAGATAATTGGTAGTATCCACCATGTTAACTTGGTAAAACTTATTGGTTTTTGTTTTGAGAAATCACACCGCCTTTTGGTTTATGAGTACATGGCTAATGGATCTTTGGATAAATGGATCTATGGTGGAAAGGAGAAACAATCTCTTCCATGGAGTGCAAGGAGAAGAATCATAACAGACATTGCTAAGGGATTAGCTTATCTCCATGAAGACTGCAGTCATAAAATAATTCATTTTGACATCAAGCCCCAGAACATCCTCTTAGATCAAAACTTCAATGCAAAAGTTGCTGATTTTGGATTGTCAAAGCTGGTTGAAAAGGATCAGAGCAGAGTTATTACAAGGATGAGAGGAACACCCGGGTATTTGGCCCCTGAATGGTTGAGCTCCGTGATCACAGAAAAAGTGGATGTGTACAGCTTTGGCATCGTGATGTTGGAAATCCTTTGTGGGCGGAAGAATTTGGATTGGTCTCAGATCGAGGAAGACAGGCACTTGCTGAGTGTCTTCAAGAGAAGAGCAGAAGAAGCAAGACTTGAAGACATGGTTGACAAAAATAATTTGGACATGCAGGTCCACGTTCTGGAAGCTGTGGAGATGATGCAGATTGCTGCATGGTGTCTGCAGAGCAATTTCACCAAGAGGCCTTCAATGTCATTAGTGGTTAAAGTCCTTGATGGTCTGGTGGCACCTGAAACCAATCTGGATTATGACTTCACAAAGCCATCAGCAGTTGAAACAGGGGCAGCTGGTGATCAAGGAAGAGAAGCTTTTCATATTGCCAGTCCGCTGTTGCCTTCAACTTTATCCGGACCCAGGTAGATGGAAAGATTCAATGTGTATTTTCAAGTGATCATGATTTACTTTTTCTGAATGACTACTAGACAAATAATTTGCTAGTATACCGGTTCCGCTAGTATCAGCAACATGGTTCATTTTGATGAGTGTACCAAGTGTATCTACAAATTAATATCTAAAATGAATGATGGATTTTGATAGGATTCTGGTACTGCTGTTCATATGTCATTCCCTGGGCTTCTAATTCTCATATTAATTGAGAAAGCGTAAAGGATTGTGAAAACACGAGTTCTACAATTCAAACAAGCACATAACCAGTGGCCACTGGGAGTGCCTTTCAAGTCCCTCTCGAGGTGCTGGTTGAGGGATCAAATCCATTTATCAGCATCAAACAAGAAAAGGATTTCTTGACTTCTCAAATCCAATGGGTGCCTTAGGATAGCCGTTTGATCCGGAGGTGGTTTTTGAATTCTCAATGATTCACTAGGCATGTTCCCTTCTCCTATGGTATTGGAGTAGATGTAAATGTTGACGTCTGACCCAAAAAAAAAAGAAAAATACCAAGCAGTCATCGGAGCATGCATCCTTCTTTAAGTTTAACTATGGAGAGGGTCTCTCGTAGACCGGGTCCATTATGTCACTAAATGCTTTTGAGATGATGGTCAAATGAGTGGATCTATTCTATAACAGGGAAAAAAATGACACGCTCAAACACTTAACAGTACTTTAAAAAAAATCTCAATTTTCATGATTATATTTACTAGAGCTACAAGCTCGATCAAAATGAGTACAAGAATAGCGAATTTTTTTTTAAATCTATGATCAGTACTGTCTGCTTTTTAATCAGCATAATGATTTATGATGACCTAATTTAAGTCCATATGTTAAAACAGGGCAAATCTTTTTACATAAAAGTAGAAAAAACAGAAGGAAAGGCAGAGTGTTGAGAAGCAGGGCAATTTAGACCGTGCGGCCATTCAAGAACCTGCATCTCTTGAATTACGAAAATTACTAATAAGTAACTTTGGGCTATCCGATCGAAGTATACGAAATATGAAAATCACTAATGTTAGCAGCTATTTAAATTACTAATGCATGTCGCGTAATTTTAATTCAATTTAAAAATTTATTTTTCTGTTCTCGTGACATACATCTATGTCTGCTAGCATAAAAACTCTTAACGTACACTTTCGGTGTATACAAACTTAATTCAGCAAAGAAAAATCTACCCCACTGCAAAGTGGTAAAGATTGTCTTTGGGGACTTGTTCATCTGCTTGGCATTGTTGATTAGTTGTCACTCTTGATTTGAGAGGGTATTAGCACGAAGAAACACAAAATTATTCAATGAGAAGATACAGGAAAGCCACTCAACATTACTCTTTATCCAGGCATATCAGTCGAGACTTTTGATTGTTTAAGCAACCATAAGATATCAATATATTTGGCAAGCAATAAGTAAGCTTGGAAACGTACAAACGGCAACTTCAACAGCTATTATATTTATGTATGTTTATATGCACTAACCTGACTTTGAAAAACAAATGACAATGAAAGTATTAGGTTCCAATACATTAAGACAGCACATTAGGTTCATGAACGGTACTTGTATATTAGCTTTTTTCCTTGATGTTCTACTTTTAAGCAATAATAGCTCGTGAGGAAACAACTAATGGGGAAGACTTGTTCCCGCACACACCCAAGATCATGCAATCTTGTTCACAAATTGTTTAAGCAATATATCAGTTCAGCACGGCGGCCAAGTTCAACAACTTTGATGTAGCTAGTCGCCAAGCTTTTTGTTACGAACATTTTACCTTGACTTCGAAAACAACATGTCAAAATTCCACCGCTTTATCTAATTTGTACTGCTACTACTATATAATAATTCTCAATAGATCCCTGTGAAGGCAATTACATGATTCTACTAATAATTACTATAAATCATTTCCGTGTTGAAATCATAGCAAGTGTAACACTCCCTCTCGATCCCATTTTGATAGTTATAGTTTTTTTTTTTCACACAGTTTAAGAAAAAATAATTAATTTTCTTGAAAAAACAAATTTAGATTACTACTCCCTCTGTTCCTTATTAGATGGCCTGAATAACTAATTCTCTTAGATTAAGAAAGTTGGTTATTTTCTAAAAGTCAACAAAAGTTTAACTTTACTTCTCAAAATTACCCTTTATCTCTCTTCATCTCTTCAACTACTTTTATTGTTAATGCTACAAATACTGCATTTAATTATTTAGAGTTCCAATTCAAGAAAGTTGAAAGGGTAAGCAAGGGTAAATTTGGAAAAAAGTTCATAAATGCTTTCTTGATATCATAAAATGACAGATAAAAAGAAACAATGGATTAGGACATCTAATAAGGAACGGAGGGAGTATTTTTCTAAAATATCTTACATTAAATAAAGTTGGCTTTTCATATATCTTTTGTTTTGGAAAATCTAAATGCATTAAATGGGGTAGGTTATATTCATTACTAACAATCTATATTAAATAAGGTAGTTTGAAGTAATAACAACTTACATTAAATAAGGGTATTTTAGAGAAATTAAAAGACAATTACATTCTTCAATTGGAGAGTAGACTACGATTTGTGACAGACGAAAAAGGAAAACAGGACTGTTAAAGTGGGATGGAGGGAGTAATTTCATAGGTTGAGTCTACAAGCACTAGTAAATAATTTTCTTTAGTAGTCTGTTTGAATTGCTATTTTAAGAGTTTTTATTAAAAAAAAAATGTATTATAACGATTTGATGTATGTCAAGTAAAAAAATAATTAAAAATATATTCACGAAGAATGTAAAAATTTTTGTGTAATAAAAAAACAATTGGAGGCTAGTACCCGGAGATGCAATCATTTGATCAAGTGAGTGAGACTTGATGCGTTGTTTCAAAAGATGATTAATAAACAATCAATTTAAGAAACTTCCCTGTAACAAGGACATTCCCTGCTTAGGGTATCAATTTAGGGATCAGTTAACAATCAATTTCCCTTCATTGTGCCTTGGGATTAGGATAATACAGAAGCTCTCGCTCTCCTTACTTTATTTAATCAAATCAAAGCTGAGGAGTGAGAGATGGAGACTAAAATAATACTCGTACTACTAAGTTAGGGGTACACGTGGCCGATAGTCCGTGGAAGACGGGGAAAGTCACGTGATAAAAAATGTCTGCCTACCACATCGCCCGCCTCCCGAATCACGTGGCCACCTCAGGGAGAGATGCGGTGGTCCCAACTTCCATTATACGCGATCCAGTTTTGTTGAATATAAAAAATCAAAGAAGGGATTTGTGACTTTGGGGTCCCCTCTCAGCCTTGATTATCAAGTCATTAATTTATACACAGTCCGATATTAAAAAAATTACTACTAGTTCGAGCTTGGAATCCATTAATTGGATCCACAACTTTGCATTATTCTACAATGAGGAAAGCCAAGAAGTAGAGATTGAAAGATCATGGATAAATAAAATGTTAGGCGGTGGTTTGTGCCTTCCTCCATCAAGACCTTGGGAGGTGACGCAAAGGTATTGGTCTGCATATATAGTATACTAGGTTGTTTTTCCCGCGCGAGGCGCGGGTGGTGCCTGGGGGTTGGCCTGTTTTGTTTTAAGTATTAGGAAAATGCTTGTGTGGAAAGATGGGTAGTAAAACATGGGAAAGTTACTTGGGTTAAATTTTCTGAAGTAAAACATGGGAAAATGTTGTTTATTTATGTAGCTAATTGTGAGTTGCAGAAATTATTTTATGTAAAAGATGTCTGTGAAGCTGCAGCTTTTTGTTGTTGTTTTTTTTTTTTTAGTATGGTTAGAATCTTTGTTCACATGTGTATAGTATTGTTTTGTTTTGAACTGAGCATTGAGTTTTATAAGTTAGTTTGGTCAAACGTAATTTGTTAGTGGATGGTAAAAGTTTATTATAAGTTTAAGCTTAGTGTTTTGTGCAGACGGAGCGTAATCGTGTTCAGGTGCGTAATAATGTGCGGGATCATTATCCAGATTTGGTGGAACAAAAATGAGGAAATATAATATAAAATATAAAACAGAAGGAAGTAAAAGGATGAGTACCAGCAGCGGCAATGCAAAGGAAGCAAAGCAGTGGGAGATGAAAGCAAATAGAACAAAGCAAATTGACGGAGATCAGGACATATGCGCATGACTAATCTGTATTACTGTATACCATTGTGCTTAATATGGCATTGGGAACAGCAGATTCATGCAAGTGGGGGCATAAAATTTACTTTCCAATGATGACCTCAAGCTAAAATCTTATAATCCACGAGAAAGGCATCTTTAAGGAGGAAAGTGTAAATTGGAGGTTGAGATTACTGTTTATTGATGTAACCCAGCAATCTTGTCAAAGGAATTGACAAAAAAACCCAATTTCATAACACTCACAGCACTATAAAAAAAAGAATTTATTGAGGGTAAACAAAGGAATAATAAGTAGACCAAGGGCAAAAGCGTAATATGAAGGTAAAAAATCTCCACTTCTTACACACAAAATTGTCCTGCGTAAGAGGAGGAGAAAATATATAAGCAACACCGGATGGAGGGCAAAATGACGGGTAAGGGCTTGAAAGAGCAGATGAAACTGGCCTTGAACAGTAAGGCAAAAGTACCTCTTATATATTGTAAGGAAAACATGATTTAGCTACAAGTCATAAAGAAACCATACATAGGATTTTGCCCATTTTTTCTTTTGTAAAGGGTGGTTATTCTTAATCATCTTTATCGTTATCTTTTTTCTCTTTCTGACAGGTGTCGGGCTTGTGCAATAATAAAAATCTGCTCAATTAAAGTTAATCTTTATTTAGATAGTGGTAAACAGGGTTGAATCCACAGGGACTGGGTGTAACTGTTTCTTTTCAAATTCACAGTAACAAATGGGTGTTTTTGTGCAGAAGGTGACAATCAAAGAAATTCAAATAAAATCTAAGAAACTACTAAAAATTAAATAACAAATTACTAAAATCAAATGGGTGATAATTAAAGATCTAGCCAAGAAATAACTTCAACAATAGTTCACCTAATTATCATCGATGCAAAGTCAATTCCAATTGTTTATCAATAAATATGTTATAATTGCCAAACAAGCGATGACAGTCAACCCTTCCTTACTGTGTCGGTGACTAAGGTACGTCCGTTAATCACTACTCTAATTGAAAAATAATTCACAGGGTTGAATCCACAGGGACTGGGTGTAACTGTTTCTTTTCAAATTCACAGTAACAAATGGGTGTTTTTGTGCAGAAGGTGACAATCAAAGAAATTCAAATAAAATCTAAGAAACTACTAAAAATTAAATAACAAATTACTAAAATCAAATGGGTGATAATTAAGGATCTAGCCAAGAAATAACTTCAACAATAGTTCACCTAATTATCATCGATGCAAAGTCAATTCCAATTGTTTATCAATAAATATGTTATAACTGCCAAACAAGCGATGACAGTCAACCCTTCCTTACTGTGTCGGTGACTAAGGTACGTCCGTTAATCACTACTCTAATTGAAAAATAATTCTAGGTACGCCCATAAGATTTAATTC